GCATTTTGTTTTCTTATTTTAAACACTCCAGGTAAAAATGGAGTAATATATTTTTAATACAGAGGGAATATACGCTAACCTCTTTCGGGGTTTCTAAAAGATTCTTTGCTAAGTTCTAACATATATTCTGGTTTCAAGCATTTTCAATTATTGATGCACTTATGTTGATGTATCAAAATCCAAATGTGTTACATGCACATATAAAAGCATAAATTTAGATTATGTTTATTGAAATACAAAATTATAACATGTGTACAATACTATATACTTTCTCCATCTCAAAATGTTACTACCTAAGATGAGATATGATCTATCCTAGGATAACAAATCTGGACGGAGATAATAATTGATTGTTACTGAAGGAGGTCCGTTAAAATTCGTTGTCATAGGATGAGTTACGTCCCATTCTAGATAGCAATATTTTGGGACGGAGGTAGTAATTGTTTTTTGCTGGTCAAGGGTTTTGACTTGACGGCAAATTGATGGCAATTTCACAATAAGATGAATATGAACGGTATAATTTGGAATTAGAGGGTTTGACTAGTGGCATGTATATATAGAGCAAATTCCATCAAATACATTTTAAATGTGTGGATACTTATATACTTGTAACATATGTCAATAATAACCATGAGAATCCCCTTTCATGACCACAACCTTGCATTTTTTAATACATATATGCCATATATGGATTAAAATCTTATAAGGTGAAGTTAGAGGGACGTGGTCACTTACATGTAAACCCACATGTCAATGATCACATAAACAATTCTTCCTGTATCTTCCTTGCATGGAGTTTCATCCATTCCTTAATTGTATAAATATTCTTTATTTTGGATGGTCAAAATATTTTTGTATTATGGATGGTCATTTTCGACCTCTGTCACTTTTACGTGTTGTTTATCAAAAACAGAAAACGACAGTTGGGCGCCTAGCGTTAAGCTTCATGGCGCAATTATTTTTATCCATCAATTCTATAATGGAGAATGCTTTACATGCACATACAAACTACTGCGTACAAGTGGGCGATAGCCAATAGCTGATCTGGTTAGTGTGAGTGTGTGGTAATTTCTCCTCTCTCTGTGCACAATCAATTCTTTTTATGGCAAAATTTACTAAGAACATCCAATTTTGTCTAATTTATACTTCCTCCATTCCAAAATATAAGGCACAACCACCATTAAACCAAAGACCAAGAAATAATTAATATCTCATCGTTGTCATGAATCATCCCAATTAATACAATACATGTAACCAATAGAATTAAAGATCTTGTGAATATAAGATTTAAAATAATAATAATTTAGGGGAGATAATGTGCTAATTAATTACATGCATGCACACCTTATATTATGAAACCACTTTAAAAAATAGTTGCGCCTTATATTTTAGAACGAAGGTAATATATCCCTACAATAAGATAATAAATTTCGCCATTCTTGATCTACATATCGTCCAATATCGACATAATAAATTTCGCCCTTCTTGTTTAAAAGGTCACAAGACCGAACCAAATTATTTCGATCTTGCCCAACCCTATCAAGTACGGCTCTCTAAGAATAAACTCCTCTATAAGAAAACCTAACTAGGCTAGCTAGACGCCAGCCTTACTCCGTACGTGACAATGCCAAACTATTCACTATGATACAGTACACGCAAGTTTTTTTTTTTGGTTGAAAACTCACGCAAGCTAAGCATGAACCATGAAGTAGTCAGCTAAGAACATTTTGAAATACTTAAACACCATTTTAGTCCATTAACTATTCCCTGGGTTATCTACTGGACTAAGTAACACTCCAGTACCGATCATGTATACTCCCTCTCAAATATAACTATTTCAAGGATTAATTAAAATACAGAATAAGAAATAATATTCAAAATTTAAAATTAGAATAAAAATGAGAGTATGAGTAGAAATACAATTTATAATAATAAAATTTCAGAATAAAAAATAAGAAATATTAAAAGAACAATCTATCTATATAACAAAACACTGACAAATGACAATAAAGAGAAAGATAAAGAGAAAGGGTATCAGGCGGGTCGTGAAGGAATACGTATGACGGCTGATGGGACATCTAAAAATTATAAAACAACATAATTAACACCCAAAAGATGATTTGGTTTGATTTTTAGATTCCCAATGATGACTAAGAGGAGGGATGATGGGTAGGCCGTGAAGGAGTAGGGTTGCATGCGGTTGACGCGACTTCCAAAAAGTAAAAAAAACAAACATGATTAGTTTCGATTTTTTAAATCCAAATAACAATAAATAGTGCGGTAGGCGAGTTATATAGGTGTATATTGACATCATTTGGTAGTACTTCTAAAATCTATAAAAATAAAACTGACGTGATAATGAACTCTACAACTATAAGATCCGATCTTTAAATGTCCCAAGAAATTTGAAAAAGAACCATGGTAGACTAGACAAGCAAATAATGGAGCGACAAATAAATAAGGGGTGACGACTGGTGTAGCTTTCAAAAATTATAAAATTGAAATCCCAACGATGATAAGGTTCGATTGTTAAAATTCTAAGACAATGATAAGACTATTTTAACAAATTTTGAAGAAAATTATGTGTAAAATAATTTAGTATGGATGCTAAATGCATAATTGCACGGGCTACATAGCTAGTTTAATTTTTAAAACAAGAGAGTGTATCTGGTTGGCAGGGACGCATGGTAAAAAATTCAATGGTCAGTACAACCCCTCTTAAATGAATATGGTTCAAATATAGAGTTAACACGAGTGCTAGTATTTGTGACTAATTATTTTATTTTTTTTATTTGATAAATCCATTGACAGAGAGATGATCGTGGCAACTTTATCAACTTATGTTAAGTCTGATGCTCATATACTCCAATTAAGGGCCACTTTGATTTGGAGGAAAAACATAGAAATTTTCGAAGATTTTAATCCTATAGAAAATTTTCCTATGAAGCACTTTGAAACAAAGGATTGAATCCTTTGAAATTTCTATGGAATGGGTAATCCTATAGAGATTTTAGAGGAAATTTAGCAAGAGCTTCAATCTCTTGGTAACTTTCCTTTGAGTCTATCTCTCTTATCAAATTCCTATGTTTTTTTGCGGTTCAAACAAATGGTTATTCATTAGTTTTTATTGCGTTTTGCAATCCTCTATTTTACACTTATATTTCTATCAAAATCCTACGTTTTTCCTATTCCTACATTTTCGCAATCCTGCGATTTAAATGGTCCTTAGTGTACGGGTGCATTTATATGGTGAATGTAAGCTGTGTTGTTAGCGGTAATGTGTTTAAAAAGAAGAAATGAATGTTAGTAAACGGTTTGTCTGCCAGCTGACACCGTACATCGGTGCATGGCCGCCGCGTGGCTTCTGGCGGGCCAGTCAGCACATGCACAGCACGGCACTCGTTCACCCGTGCATCTATCCACTCCACTAGCTACGTGCCCACGACGTTTGCTACCTGAGGCTGAGCCATCATAGGCTAAGGTTTTCAGAAACAAAAGGAATGTTGGGATTTGCAATACTATTGTACGACCATGGATATTTGTTTGCATAATTATTTTGCCGTAATAATATTTAAATACGATTAGTACTCCATCTTCCATTAGTAAAGCCTTCCTCAATGTGTGCAAAATTTGGAATTTCAGACTCGATCGTCTACTGAGTAAAAAATTAGAACTACCGAACAGTGTTAAAAACACACCTGCATCAGGTATACGGTGCCTCTGCATCTATATGCATGCTGTGAGGTTGTTGTACTGTTTTCACAGTAGGAAAATTAATATATACTCGTACTTCCCTCGCAAAAAAAAAAAACTTCTTACGTGTAAATGATTAGCCAAAAGTCGTTTATAACTAATTAAGTAGTTAATGGCTAAGATTAACTAATCAAAAGGCCAATAGAAGAGCGTGCACGTTTCTACCTGAATGGTCGTTCTAGTACTAAAATATCGACCCTTGTGGTTCATGAGCATGTTATTTTATACCTGCTCAAATCCAACGTGTCAGAATGAGCATGCATCCCGCGGATATATGAAAAAAAAACCGAATGAATAGTCAACGCTTTTCATTTTTTTTCAATGAAATGCTGTTTGCATAGAGTTCTTGTGTTGAACATCAGAAAAGGTTGATATACTGTTTGACAGCTGAGCCATACCCCCTCCATAAAAAAAAATCTAATCGTAGCATCGATTGGAATTTTTTTTATGGAGTAATAGGTAGCTTCTCAAGTCTTTAAGAGTGACTGAGTTTTTGCTTGTCAAGATCGAATATGCTACTTCATATAACTATATACCGGCTTCGTCCAAAAATAACTTTAAGAGTAGGAGGGAGAGAAAATAATTTAGGTATTCTCTATTATAAACTAGTGGTTGGTTAGTTGAGGGTAAAATGAAGAGAAATTTAAATAACAGATAATTGACGTGATGAGTATGACTATATTTTTTTTATTTATTTTAGAAGAAAATGTGAATCTAGAATTATAATTATTTTATTTTGGGACAGGATAGTTAATGGAGAGGTATTTTCATTGATCTTGCACGATTAGTGGTTTCCTCATGTGAATGGAGGAGCTACTACCAAGCAAACTCTACCCTTAAAAGGAACCAACTTTTCCTTCCCATTTCGAGCAGCACTCAGCTAAAGAAAACCGCAGTTAGCATCTACAGAGTCTAGCCGTCCTAATCCTAATCCCAGAACTATCCCATGTTTTGCATCATACATGAGATCATCTCAGCCCACCTGTTGCGTGCTACCAGTTCAGGATCGTCGACACGTGGAGAAATTACACATCCATTTCCCATTTCTCCAGGTAGGACCAAGCTCGCATTTTGGCCAGTTGCAGCCTCCCATGAGGATAAGCAAGAACAAAAAAGACCTCTTTTTTTTTACCGGCCTAGTTGACCACCAACCAAGCAGTACACACACCACCGCGACACATCGCACGCATCATTCTGAATTTCTTTTTTTTTTTTGCCCCCTCCTCCTGATGAGTGAGTGATGCCAGGCCACCAGAACAAAGCAGGAGGAGTCACCAAACGCATGCGTACAATCGGAGCAAGTAGCAGTAGCAGTAAACAGAGCAGTAGAAGAAAAGAAAAAGATTTAGTAAAACTTTAGTTTAAGGGAGGAGGAGGAGGAGCACTTGGTTCTCTCGACACGAGAAAAGGTGAAACAGTGCTAGTTAAATAGTGGCAATAATTGTTCGGTTTAGCTTTTTGGGAATCCCGGCGCCACTGTTTCCATCTCCTAGCGCTGAATTCCAAGAGATCTCCTCCTCTCTCTCTCTGTCCTGGCAATCACAGCAGTAGCAGCAGCAGCAGCAGCAGCAGCAGCAGCAGCGAATTCTCTCTTTCTCTCGTCGTCGTCGTTGTCTCTCCCCCTTCCGTTTGGTGGTGCAAGTTGAGGTGGAATCGGCACACGGCTTTGGCTTTTTTGGGCGGAGAGGAGAGGAGAGGAGCAGGGGAGAGCTTGGCTCTGCTTCTTTCTTCGTTCGTCGTCCGGTTTCTCTCTCGCCTTTGGGAGGCGGGGCCGCCGCTTTTCTGGGCCTCCCCATTGGAAGGCGCAAAGGTGGACGCGCACCAATTTAAAGGCGGCCGAGATCGAGCCAAACGAGGGAACCGAGCCGAGCGCCACCACCTCCCACCTCACGCACTGCCCAGCCTACCTCAGTGTACGCGCGCGCCCGTGTACTCGCCGCCGCCGCCGCTGCCGCTTCAGGGACACGCCAAGAATCTGCGGGCGCGGCTGCTTCGCTTCCACACCGCGCGGGTTAGCGGCGCGTTTCGCGAGCAAAGGTGCGCCTCCTCTCGATCTGCACGTACGCAAGCTAAGGGGGATCTTGATTTGGTTTTGGTAGGATCGGATCGGCACCGTGGTCGCGGGGTTATTAGTTTCCTCTTCTTGGTTAATTGGGGGTGACGACCTTAGGTCCGGGCGTCGCGTCGTCGCGTCGGGGTGGTGCTTCGCACGTATGCGCGCCCGGGGCCGGGGCCGCCGTCTTTCGTGCAATCATCGTTGCTTGATTCGATCTTTTCGTGTGGCTTTCTGTTCAAGTCTTTGTCTAGTGCTTGTCTACTGGAGTAGTGTGTGAGGACAGATTATAACTAGCTAGCTTAGCCCCTTTTTGTGTTCCTCTTCTTGATGCCTTTGGTTCCAAGCACTAGCGAAGTAGGAGTAAGTTCATATCGCTTCTTCTTCATGTGCTCTGTTATCGCAGAGTCGATGTACGGATTGGCTGTTACGATTACGAAGCAGGGCTTGCTGCCTTGATTCGGTGTTGTGGTCGTAGGGATCAGTCGTCCTTGCAGTTGCAGAACACTGGTCTTGTTTCTTGCAAATTGCTTCCTTGATTTGGTTCAAGTTTGAACTGTGAGTATGAGCTTCGAGATATATTGCCTCCTTTTGCTTGATAACCTCTCTGTTCTTTTTATTTCTCTTGATATCAAGCCAGCATCTTTTATAGGTCTCTAATCCGCTTTCATGTTGAGAACTTGAGATGTTTGTAGGATGAATATATCTTTGCATATATGAGCATGTTCTTTCTTGTTAACTCAATTCATCAAGACATCAACTAATTAACCATGTTTTCTTAGATGATCTTTTCTAGGATTCAGATACTTGTCTTGAGCTGAATAACTGTACTCTTGCTGTTTTGTAGTCATGTCTTCTATTGCTAACATGACTACAATGATTCCATGTGGTGCGCTGGTGTTTCTAATGGTGCTAAACTGCTAATGATAGTTTTATTTAAGTTCTGAAGTAATGAAGCATAAAATCTTACGAACATATATTTCTGAGTTTCTTTTTGTTAATCTTGATATGCATTTTTTATGAGTGATCAAAGAAAGAGTTTCTCCCTTTATGGTAAATTGTTTTCTAGCACGAAGCTTCCATTTCAAAATTTAAACCGTACTAGCCCTGTTCCTTTCTCATTCTGGATTTTGGATTTCCGTTTGTACACTTCCCAAGCTCCTAAACGGCACACCTTGTTTAATTTTCTATATAAAATTTTCTTACTCCCTCCGTTTCACAATATAAGTCATTCTAGCATTTCCCACATTCATATTGATGTTAATGAATCTAGACATATATATCTATTTAGATTCATTATAAACAATATGAATGTGGGAAATGCTAGAATGACTTAAATTGTGAAACGGAGGAAGTAGAATATTTTTCTCAAGCAACTTTTCAACTTTGTAGTAGTCAATCCATTCATTTATACCCTCAAATAACTATCACAAAAATAGATTGTCCATTCATTTGATACTTGGATGGTACTCTTCAGGCTAGTAAACCAGCAATGTGATATGGTTCTTTTTGAAAATTTAATATATGAAAGATCTTTTTATTGGAGTCAGTTTCAATGTTTTTTGAGATCGTATCAGTTTCAATGATTACTAATACTACCAATGTTGTGGACTCCTCTAAATACTTTAGTTTCGTGTAGGAGCAATGGCACTAATATCACTCCTTTCATGTCTTTTGCAGGAAGTGTATCGTGCTATTTTCTATAATCTGGTTGTGGTTGTTGGAAAGATATTTTTGCTAAAGTTTTGATATCATCGTCGTAGTTTGGATGGCACCCTTGGTTATTTTGGTGGGTTTATCGAGCTCTGGATGCCGAACTCGCCTATGCTTCATCAAAACGGAAGTATAACTGGTGCTACAAAAGTTCCCTCATTGAAAAAGAAAGTTAACAAAGTCAAGCATTCTTCCAAAGCTTGATTATGTTTTTTTGAGGCTGAAGGGGGAGCATAGAATTTCATCTGGCATGCAGATGTCAACAAATCCTAACCACTATCCGGTATTTCCACATTCATTCCGCAACCAACATGTGGTCTCATTCCAAACAAGCACAATTGCCAATGGCTCAGGAGCCATCCCAGTTTGCCCAGCCAGTTCGGGAGGGATGAACAGCGATATGACATTGCTGAACACCACACCTTCAACGATTGTTTCAACATCTTCACCCAACATGCTTGCTGATTCTAACCAGAGCCTCAAGTATGCTGCACCAATGGCTGTGGATTGGTCATATCCTGAGTTACAGCTACTGAACGACGGCCTCCTTAAGTATGCTAAACTGCCACTTGTATTGAAAGAACTTTTATCTCACTTCAAAAATGAAATTACAAAATATTTATGTCATATACTGTTTAGAATAATGAGTATTTGCCTTGTTCATGCTTCAATAGTCATAAGCTAACTTCTTTTATCCCATAATTCTACGGATTAAAAGGAATATTAGCAGTTATTCCCAGAACTTCTACATTTTAGAATGAACTGATTTGTTTGAGTCCAGTACTATTTCTTTTATGAATATGTCATTTTCAGTTATATCCACTACTTATATTTGTCTAGTAAGCAAGGATCTAATGATCTTATCACAAAGTTTTTATCGTCCGTCTTCATCACTTTATCCTAATCTTCAATCATCTTTGTGCACTGGTGATAAAATTTGTTAGATATGCAAATGAACCGGGAATCATGAAGTATATCAAGATAGCAGCTATGTTACCAGAGAAGACAGTAAGGGATGTAGCCATGAGATGCCAATGGATGGCGGCGGTCAGTATCTGATTCATTTTATCTATGTTGCAGTATATAAATAATGTTTTTCCTTCAGATCCACAAAATAAATATAGATTCTTGTTTAAACGTGAAATCTGAAAATTTAAAATTTGTTCAAGATGTTAATCCAATAAGAGAAACCTTTTCTTATATAAAGGAATATGTGGTCTGCCTCAGCTTATGGATTGGGACTAACAGTTGTTTATATCTTGTGTCTTGTCAAGATGATATCACTATAATTCCACTAAACCACTGCCGCGTATGCAAAAGTAGATCATGTGCTAGATGCACTTATTTGTCCGCATCTATATAAATACTATAATGGTCTATTATAGAACATAAAGTTAGTGTGGTCTGAGTTGGTCCTCCCAAGTTTCTTTTGAGCTGTTTGTCTCACAGGTGTGCCTTTGTATTTGTCTAGTGTGTACTAGAATAATATAAGTTGGTCCAGGAACAACAAGGTCTCTGCTTTTGACAGTGCTAGCAATACTGCCTCTACTAATATTTCTTAAAAACATTGCAGTCAAAAGCTGGCATTGTCTTGTTTCACAATAATTTGTTCATCTTTTGGAAGTGTTATAACTTTTTGATTTAAATATATTTGTTCAATTGAGACAACTGAGCTGGTATCACTGAGTAGGCTGGTAGATTATGCAACCATGCTAAACTTGTCATATCTTCTTTTTTATCATGGAACAGTCGGGATATCATTTAACATTTTCTCTTGTGGTGATCTAGCAGAACATAGGGTTTTACCTTGAGTAATTCTTGTATCTAATACTAATGTCCCCTAAAAAAAGTACTCCCTCCGTTTCAAAATGTTTGACACCGTTGACTTTTTAGCACATGTTTAACCGTTCGTCTTATTCAAAAAAATTTGTGAAATATGTAAAACTATATGTGTACATGAAAGTATATTTAACAATGAATCAAATGATATGAAAAGAATAAATAATTACTTAAATTTTTTGAATAAGACGAATGGTCAAACACGTACTAAAAAGTCAACGGTGTCAAATATTTTGAAACAGAGGGAGTATATACCAATGTCTAATAAATGTTTGTGTGATAGCAAATGTGGTTCTCCCTTTTCATTTTTAATGGTACTAACAACCATATTTTTGTACAGAAAAAGGAAAATACAAGACGAAGGAAGACCGATGAACATTATCTTGGAAAAAAGACAAGAGATCGAAAGGTGTTAATCATCTTCTAGTCTTCTTATTAAGAAGTAATTTATATTTTGGCATATGAAACATATATTAAATTTGGAATTTCTAACCATGTTCTTGAGTTCCATGTATTATTAATTGTAAAAACGATGGAGCGAAGATGAAACTTTTAGACTTTTATGGCATGTTTTCTCTGTAGGTAGTATTTTCAAACCAAACGGATTTCCCCATAATTACGGAAATATTAATAAACTTTTAATCATAGGTCCTCAAAATGGAAAAATCTGGTTCACCCTAAAAAGTTCTGAAATTGACGCGAAAAAATGCATGCTACTATTCATATTTTGCACTACTTTTTTGTGCAGAGATTATACATCCAAGTGTATATATGCCACTGGTGCTCATCAAAATTGTTTTTCAGGATAAAATGGTGGAGTCTTCATGGGCTACCAATCGACAAGTTCAGACAACAGATATTAGAAGTCCTTCCACCTTGGCATGTAACACAGTTCGTGATAATCAATTTCAGTCTGGAGGTTGGTGTGTCACTTATGAAGTTGCTGTGTAATTAACTGTTTCCCTTTGCTTTTGCCATTTTTTATGGTCCATGTGGTTAACAGCCCAAAAATATTTTCACTGCTTTTATGTGCTCAGGGGCTCAGGGCCTCTTGTTCTAAATGTTATCATGAATGGTGAAGAATTTCCATAAAATTCCATGCAACGTTTTGCGACATGTAAAATTCGTTGCTTCATGAGACACGGGTGTTTCCTGGCTTCTAAGCCACATTTAATGCAGCTTACAGTGAAACAGTAAAATTATGAAAAGTACTTTTTTTTACTTCTGATAATGTTTACATGTGCAAATGGACTTAGAATATTTTTATTTGTCAATGCAAGCATATGTAGAGGTCTTGTTGACCAAATACTCATACTCCCTCCATTTTTAAAATAACTGTTAGTGTTGACTATCAGTGTTTTCACTTTGACCACGAAATACTCTTTGAATGAATAGACTATGATGAACGAGATGTTCATGTATATATGACACTATATACTTTGATAATATGGTATCTTTTTTAGTATTTGCAAACATTTTGGAAAAAAACGAGTGGTCAAAGTTTGAAACAAATAGTGCCCAGTATCAATTATTTAAAAATGGAGAGAGTAAAATATTGTTTGTTCTGTTTAATTCATTCTGTTTGTGCCATTTTTTGTGACACGTCTATCTCGTTTTCCGTTATGCAGCCTCTGAAATTGATCGCGCAATGCTTAATATATTGGAAGAAAATGCTCGGGTTCTCAAACAAATAGGAGAAAATATTATGACATCACAGGTGGATATTTTGCTTTAATGATTCATATATGATTAGAGTTATATTGTTTGGTCCTCCTTGGTTTATATATGGGGAACCATTAGTAACACAGGAGTAAACCGCGTTTCAACTTTTTGACCCCTTTCAGGTTCAGAACAATATTGATCTATTCCATCATGCAAGAAGGAACATCAGTGATCTTCTACAAAGGTATATTTTACTATTACTTGCATACGTTCTTTTTTATTTCCTTCCATGCTATATCTAATGTGATGATTATCTCAATAAACAGCATGAGCCAAATGCCTGGGATAATGAGCAAAATGCCTCCGCTGCCAGTTTCGATTGATGACAGGCTAGCTAGTTACATACTCCCTGGAGTCAATTTGGTAAGCTTCCTTCTGTTAGACTTTGCTCTAGGATCACCTAGGTTAGATCTAGTCGGGTGGTTTTATTTGGGTTTGATGAACGACATTGTAGATGAAAGGGAGAGGGTTTAGATACCGACCGGTTGAGGAGTTCGTGGAGGAAGAGGCGCCGGACATCGTCGTTGTCGTCGCGGCTTGACGTGGATGCGGCGCCGGTGAGGTCGACGGTGATGACGGCTGCGGCAGTGGTGGTCGTAGACGTCCCGGCGATGAGGCGTGGCGCGGCGGTGGCGTTTCCCGTCACTGGCTGCGCCCCCTCTCGATCGGATTAGGGTTTTGTGGGGTGGAGTTGGCGGCGGCGGTGAATCTCGTACCATGTGCCGTGCCGGCCTCCACCCCTCTTTTATATGGCGCAGTGTGACGGGGGCCCACCAGCCATTGGGCTGGGCGCCCCCGATCAGGGCGCGGTCAAGGCCCCCTTGAGCCGTTGGGCTCAAGGGGAGAGAGATCTATCTAACATTCTCCCCCTTGATCTCACTTTTTCTTTTAGCTTTTTCTATTCCATCACAGATTTGTAAATAGAGCATGTTTCATCGTCACGGTCAATCGCCGATGGATTCGACAGCCACTATACACATCTCTATTCAGAAACAGATACTTTACTTTTGGGCCCTGTAGTCCAGGATTCATAAGGCTTCCCTTAAACCCATGCCGGCTACATGTTCCTTGAACACGTTGGGTGGTAGGCCTTTCGTGAGCGGATCCGCGAGCATCCTTTCTGTTTTAATGTGCTCGAGACTGATTGTTTGATCCCGGACTTTGTCCTTCACAACATAGTACTTTATGTCAATGTGTTTGGCAGCACCACTTGACTGATTGTTGTGAGCGTACATTACTGCGGGTTCGTTGTCGCAGTATAACTTTAGCGGTTTCTCAATACTGTCAACCACCTTTAAACCGGGTATGAACTTCTTTAGCCAGTTCACCTGCCCCGTTGCCTCATAGCATGCTATAAACTCGCCATACATAGTAGACCCTGCAGTGATAGTCTGTTTTGAGCTTTTCCATGAAATAGCTCCTCCTGTCAGGGTAAACACGTATCCCGATGTTGACTTTGTATTATCTTTTGCAAAGTCAGAATCTGAGTACCCCACTATCTGGAGTGATTCTGATCTTCTGTAAGACAGCATGAGGCCTTTTGTTCCTTGCAAATAACGCAAGACTTTCTTTACCAATTTCCAGTGCTCTAGGCCTGGATTACTCTGAAATCTGCCAAGTAACCCGGTAACAAATGCCAAGTCAGGTCGTGTGCACACTTGCGCGTACTGTAGGCTTCCTACAGCTGACGCATATGGCTTTGTTTTCATTTCATTGAGCTCATACTGATTTCTGGGACATTGCGATGCCCCATACTTTTCGCCTTTCATTATAGGAGCAGGTGTAGCACTGCATCTGTACATGTTGAATTTCTTCAACACCTTTTCTATATATGTCTTTTGAGAAAGTCCCAATGCATACTTTGTTCTATCTCGGTGAATCTCTATGCCCAAAACATATGAAGCCTCACCGAGGTCTTTCATGTCAAAGTTTGAGGACAAGAATTTCTTTGTTTCCTGCAGTAGACTGACATCACTACTAGCCAGTAGAATGTCATCCACATACAGAATTAGGAAAATAAATCTCCCATTCTTAAACTTTGAATAAATACAGTTGTCCTCGACATTCTCTTGAAACCCAAATTTCTTTATTGTCCCATCAAACTTCAAGTACCACTGTCTCGAAGCTTGCTTTAATCCATAAATGGATCTCTTTAGGCGACATCCCATATTTTCGTTTCCTTTCATGACAAAACCTTTCGGTTGCGCCATGTATACTTTTTCCTCCAAATCTCCATTTAGAAATGCCGTTTTTACATCCATCTGATGTAATTCCAAATCATAATGTGCCACTAGTGCCATTATAATCCTGAAGGAATCTTTACAAGAGACTGGAGAAAATGTCTCATTGTAATCAATCCCTTCTCGTTGCGTGAAGCCTTTTGCCACAAGTCGCGCTTTAAACTTTTCTATATTCCCTCTGGAGTCATATTTGGTTTTGTAGACCCATTTACAGCCTACTGTTTTGGCTCCTTTAGGAATTTCTTCTAAATCCCAAACATCGTTTAGTTTCATTGATTTCATTTCATCTTTCATGGCTTCCAACCATTCAGATGAGCGAGCGCTTCTCATGGCCTCTTCATATGAGGTGGGATCATCCTCCATATGCGACTCTTCTATATTATAAACTTTATAGTCATCACGGATAGCCGATCTTCTGACTCTTTCAGACCTTCTAGGGGCCTGCACATTTGGCACATCCTGTACCTGAGGCTCTTGATGAGTCTCCTGTACTGGCACATTATCTATTTGAGGCTGTTGTAGCTCCTCCTCTGGTGTGGCAACCATTTCTGTTGAATCCTGTATAACAGGTTCCTCACTCTCATTCATTGTTGCCACAGGAGGGGTAACAACAGGTGCTGGTACCTCAATGACAGGCATTGCAGGCACAACATCAGCAGGTAGAGAGAAGAAAGGTTCCTGAGTCGACGGAGCGGGTACAGACACCCGCCTCTCCTCAAGATCAATTTCTCGAACTACCGAGCTCCCCTTAATCATTTCGTCTTCCAAGAAGACGGCGTGTCTCGTTTTTACAAACTTTGTATAACTGTTTGGACAGTAGAAACGATAGCCTTTTGATCTTTCAGGATAGCCAATAAAATGGCAACTGACTGTTTTGGGGTCCAACTTCCCAATATTTGGGTTAAATACTTTGGCCTCTGCAGGACTCCCCCACACACGGAGGTGAGTTAGCGAGGGTACTCTCCCTGTCCATAGCTCATACGGTGTTTTGGGCACCGATTTGCTTGGAACTCTGTTGAGAATATGAATGGCGGTTTTTAACGCCTCCATCCATAAACCGAGTGGTAGTGTGGAGTAGCTCATCATGCTGCGCACCATATCCATAAGGGTACGGTTGCGCCTTTCAGCTACCCCATTCTGTTGAGGTTCGCCCGGTGTTGAATACTGGGCTACTATTCCATTCTCTAGCAAGAACCTTGCAAAAGGTCCAGGGACTTGCCCATAAGGCGTATGTCGACCATAGTACTCCCCCCCACGGTCAGATCTTACTACTTTAATCTTTATATCATGCTGATTTTCAACTTCAGCTTTGAATATCTTAAATTTATCCAGTGCTTCTGATCGCTCTTTAATTGGATAAATATAACCATAGCGGGAGTAATCATCTGTGAATGTTATGAACGAGTCATAGCCATCCACACTTTTTCACAGGAAATGGACCACAAATATCTGTATGAATGATCTCTAAAATTCCTGCGCTTCGTTTTGCACCCTTTTTGATGCTCTTTACAAATTTTCCTTTAATGCATTCTATGCATTGTTCTAAGTCTGAGAACTCCAATGGAGGAAGAATTTCATTCTTAACTAGTCTCTCAATTCTCCCCCTCGAAATATGGCCCAAACGACAGTGCCATAATTTCGATGAGACATCGGGAGTTCGCTTTCTTTTCTTGTTTTCTTTTGTCAACGAGGACACAACATTCACATTCTCAGAAAGAGATAACAAATAAAGCTCGTCTCGCAACACAGCAAGACCAATACATGCATTATTATGCCATAGTTCACATTTGCCACTTCCAAAGCGGCAATCATGTCCATCAAAATCCAACTTTGATACACTTATTAAGTTCCTTTGCAAAGAAGGAACATAAAAGACATCTCGAAGTAAAAGTATGAAGCCATTCGCGAGCTCTAGAGGAAGATCTCCAACAGCTTCAACTTTTTCTTCAACTCCATTGGCAACTCTAATGGTGCTTTCTCTTCTTTGCGTAGTCCTCGTCGAACGGAATGCCTTTAAACAATTACAAGCATGAATAGTTGCTCCAGAATCAATCCACCATGTGGATCTAGAGTAACCAACATAATGAGATTCATTTACAAATGTAATAATGTTCTCACCTTTCTTTGCCATGATCATTTTCAAAAAGTCAGGACAATCTTTCTTGTAGTGTCCTGTCTTCTTGCAGTGGAGACATTGATCTTTCTCAACAGCGAACTGTTGTTGTTGAGGCAGATGCTGAGACTGTTTACCTTTTGAGGTGGGAGACTTGTGGTTCTTTTTCTTATCTTTAACATAGTTTATTGAACCACCATTTGATTCTTTGATTCTCTCCTCCTCTTGCACACAATTAGCAATGAGCTTCTCAAAGTTCCATTTCTCTGGACTTATGTTGTAGTTGACAATAAAATTGTCAAACTGCTTTGGCAATGAGGCCATAACCAGATGGACCAGAAAGTCATCTGTTATGCCCAAATCCATTGGCTTCAATTTGGAAGCCATGTTGCTCATTCTAAGTATGTGGTCTCTAACACCACCTCCATGGTACCTTTCTGTCACAAGCTGCTTGATCAGCTGTGTAGCATAAGTCTTTGAAGAGCCAGTAAACTGACTCTTTATTCTTTCAAGGTACTCTGAGACAGCGTCACACTCTGGGATCGAGCCCAATATGGTAGGCTCAATCGTATTCTTTACCACAGCCAAACATTTCTTGTTGGCTAAGGACCATTTCTTTTGTTCAATGTCATACGACATGACGAGAGGAGCATTGTCCCTCTGTCTCTTTTGCCAGTCAGCATCTGACTCATTTTCACCTCTGACAAGGTCAGCAGGTTCTATAGGACATGGGGTAGTCAATACCCAGTCCACCTCTCCCAAGATAAAAGCAAGGTCGAGTTTTCTTTTCCATTCTGCGTAGTTATCTCCTTTTAGGGTCGGAATATCTTTAATGCAACCCATCAAGGAGTAGCCACCTGAAATAATCATGTGCGGTGAGAACAAAATTAACATTAAAATATTATGCATTAAGCCTACATCACCGTTGGGCAGAATTAGACATAACACATATAACCATAACTATAATATTGCAATTAACAACGTTGGTCAGAAAATTACAACATCATAGCACATAATTAATGTTCCTAAAATTAAATTCTCCCGTTGGTTCGAAATTTAATTTTAGAAACACTAATTTTCATCAATTTCATCTATTTGCAGCGGAAGACTATATAAAATCATATGAACAGTAGCTAAATCTCTGTAATTCTCTCTCTGTGAAAATTCTCCCGTTGGTTCAAATTTAAACAGAGGTAAAACATGCAAAAATCTATTCAAAATTCTATTGAAATTTGCATGAAAAATTGACAAAATAAAATGGAAAAAATGCTACTGTTCTCTTTTATTCATTTTCGGCCCCGGAGGGACCTTATATGGACTTTTTTCCGGCCTTTGCCGGTCGGCCCATGGCCACCTTGCGCGCGGGCGAGCGCCCCCTCCCCTCCCCCAGGCCGCAACCTGGGCCTGGGCCGGGAAAGCCGCCGCCGCGCGCTCCCCACTTGGGCCGATTTCGGTCCGGCCGCCGCCGGCCGTCCGATCTTAGGGTTTGCGATCGGACGGCCGGGCGCCGAAAACGGGGATCAAAACCCCTCGTGCCCCGGCCGGCCGCCGAAACCCTAGCTTCTCCTCTCTTTCTCTCTCTCGGGCGGGCGCGGTCGCGCCGAGCGGCGTCGCCGACGCCGGCGGCCCTCGCGCCGCCGCGCCATGGCCGGCGCTCCTTTCTTTTCTCTTCTCCGCTCCCCCCACCGTCTCTAACCCCCACAGTGTGAGAGAGAGATGGCGACGACGGAGATGGCGGCGCCGCCGCGGGCCCCCTCGCCGGCACGCGCGTGCAGGTGCGCGCGCGGCCGTCGAGTGGCTCCTAGGCGGCGCCTCTTTGCCCCTCCCCCCCTCCGTTGCCGGCGTCGACGACGGCCGGCGACGAGGTAAGAATTAGGGTTAGGGTTTTTGGTTCTTTTGATCCGTGCGGATCTTGTGCTTTTCTTTCTTTGGATTTCTTTCCCCGAAACGATCTAAACACTAGGGTTGCTCTGATACCATTGTTAGACTTTGCTCTAGGATCACCTAGGTTAGATCTAGTCGGGTGGTTCTATTTGGGTTTGATGAACGACATTGTAGATGAAAGGGAGAGGGTTTAGATACCGACCGGTTGAGGAGTTCGTGGAGGAAGAGGCGCCGGACATCGTCGTTGTCGTCGCGGCTTGACGTGGATGCGGCGCCGGTGAGGTCGACGGTGATGACGGCTGCGGCAGTGGTGGTCGTAGACGTCCCGGCGATGAGGCGTGGCGCGGCGGTGGCGTTTCCCGTCACTGGCTGCGCCCCCTCTCGATCGGATTAGGGTTTTGTGGGGTGGAGTTGGCGGCGGCGGTGAATCTCGTACCATGTGCCGTGCCGGCCTCCACCCCTCTTTTATATGGCGCAGTGTGACGGGGGCCCACCAGCCATTGGGCTGGGCGCCCCCGATCAGGGCGCGGTCAAGGCCCCCTTGAGCCGTTGGGCTCAAGGGGAGAGAGATCTATCTAACACCTTCTGCTCTGAAGTATTCCCGTAATCTACCGTTTTGCTCTGCTAACGATTCTAGATTTAAGATAAAAAAAAACATTTCTCGATTTGAGTAATGGATAACTATATCCAAAGTCAAGTATCCATTTTGGTTGTGACCAATCCTTAATTCCAAACAACTTAAGTACAAGTATTTCAATGTCTGGTGTAGTTGAAACTATATAAAGATTTAGCAATCTATATTTATTACGGTGTTAGTAGATGCTAAAGAGAAACTAGAACACACTCACTAGCTTTTCCGTAACAATTTTTAAGTGGTTTCATAGTTTTTGTTGGCACTGTGCATAAATAAATAAAAAACTGATCTCCTTAATATTTTTGTTCTCTATTACCGATTGGATTCCTTGCTGAAATGCTCGCTCTTGATGCACCTGTTATTTACTTTATGTAGGCACAAGTTTTCGGCAGCAGCCATTTGAGGAGCTAAGAGAATGGTAAGCCACAGCCAAACAAGGTGGCTTCAATTTTCAGCAGAAATTTGAAGATTATGTTAATGTTTGGAGAGCCATTTGCCTCGATTTCTGCATGGAGAAGCAGAGACAAAACATTGATCTTGCTTTTCCTGTGCCTGGAAGTTGAAGGAAGAAATGCAAGTAACGTGGTTACATGGCCTTCAAATAAAAGCAGTCGAGCTTGCCTTCTATTGAAGACTGCAGGCAATATATATTAATATTGTTATTATACTAGTGATCGAAATAGCGAGGGTTTTTCGGCAATTGCAGTAGTTTCTTTGTTGCACATATCGATTCTTTTTGGTTTCTCCCCTGATGTCTTCTGCTCCAGACCAAGTGGCGATCTTAACAGAGGTGTAGCATAGAAATTTGATATGAATAATTAGCAGGAAAAGCCTTTTTGTTAGTTATACAAGGTAACCTGTCTCTGTCTGTAATGCAAGTGCTTACTCTCTGGAATCACTCTCCACTGTATGAGCTAAGTATAACGAAACTGCAAGTTTCCAGCAGAACTCTCGTTAAGTGTAATTGCTAGGAGATGTTTGATTTTAGAGTAAATTCTGATGAATTCCTGATATTACGGTATGTTACTCCAACATAAAAAAGCTTTTGGCTGGCATGTGATACATAACCTTAGATATTACAGTCACAGTCTGATAATTTCACAAAGTCCATCCGATTTTCAATGTTTGATGCCATTATATGTTGAACACACATTTGATCATTTATCTTATTTAAAAATTTTATACAATTTTTTAAAAATATAAATCATTCTAACAGTGCCTTTTAATAAACTAAAACATAACTAATTACGTCAAACATTGAATATTGAAGGGGGTACGTTTTTAGAAAACCTTACCGTGTGCTATAGTTTCACACTATATTATTAGTTCACAACTCGATGGACATGAACTCCATACAATTATACTATTGCAGTGCACAAACCAATCCATTATGAGTAAACCACCTAGTACTCATGGGGCCTGCTTTTTAAGTCGTATGAGTATGGATATCACCCCACTTTTTAAGTCGTGTTCCCCATTATCAATTTTTGATACATAACTAAATCCAACAATCTCTCCTATCACACATCGTGACTACCAATCTCTCCCGTCACATCAACCACCTCGAAAACTTGTTCTAGGGTAGGTCGAACAATCTCTCTCATCATATCAACTATGTGATCCTAGAGACTTGTTTTATGGGTTTCCCACAACTGTGCGACTGAAAATTGTTTGAAGTTTCCAGATATAGGCTCTAATATCACTTGTCATAAAAACCGATACCAATTGACATTGATAGTTGAACGCGGAAGAACACCATAAGTGATCCAATCTTGATAGCGATAATGTCATAGAGGTGTTGGAACAACTGGCCGTCTAGCCAATTGAGGATCGTGAATACTGGATCGGGAGGAGCGCATGTAATCAGTGTCATGGGACATAGGAAGAACACCACAAGTGATCCAATCTTGATAGCGATAATGTCATAGAGGTGTTGGAACAACTGACCGTCTAGCCAATTGAGGATCGTGAATACTGTAATTATAGTGGATCAGGAGGAGCGCATGTAATCAGTGTCATGGGACATAGGTTTCAATTAAATATTTTTAACAAACAAAATGCCTTGTTGTCATCATCAAGATTGGATCACTTGTGGTGTTTTTCCACGTTCGAACATCAATATCGATTTCGGCGCTGGTTTTTATAACTCATCAAGCAAAGGCAGATAAATTCAAGAGCAAAAGGGAAAACAAGAACTAGTCGAATTTTTTTGCTGGAAAGAGGCACGCCCTAAGATATTATATCTTTCTTGCTTTGCTTCAAACTCGAGAGGCAATGCTCTCATGATCTCATCATGCATGTACACGGGTGATCTAGCTTCAGTTCTTCTCACATGCTTCTTACACAGGAGCCATAGACTCATCCTTCTCCAAGAGTTTCTAGAGACACTTCTAGAAGTTCCTTGCCTTGCTAGTGCCTCTGACTCTCCCTACTGCCTTCAGAATTCAGAGCATATCAGATTTGCAGTGCAGTGCAGTGAAGTGCTGGGATCATGAGCCCACCAGGGTATAGCTACTGCGGCGGCGCGAGGAAGGCGACCACCTCACGGAGAGCCTGAGCGGCGTCGCCGTAGCACAGCTTCGTGAAGGAGACGCTTCCGCTCGTCACCGCGTCGGTCAGCTGCCATTTGTCCAACAGGAACAGTTCAAGTCAAGTCAACATCAAACGCAAACGCAGACTTTTTCTTAAACTATAGTGGATTAGCTGACCCCTTTGTTTGTGTTGTCGCTGTCAAATTAGTTCGTTGGGCATAACAAGGACCAAACTAGTAGTAGTAACAAACCTATTGGGTTTTCCACTTTTGACCATGGCTAGTTAAGGAGCTAGAGTTATACTGCATTGCAAAGTGAACTGCAATGCAATGGGCGATTTGGTGTTGTTTAGTGGGTAATACTAGTCCAGAAACATCACAATTTGCTAAGAGGTCACCAGGAGCATTTATCTGCAATCAATGGACAGGACTTCTAATCTAACGGGGCATTTTTGAAACTAGGTGGCTCACAAATGATGAGACAAAAAATAGCAGACATGAAATTGAGTTAGACTCCCATGGATACTGTTTGACCAATTCAGGAACAGCATCCACATTAATAGATTGCTGAATTTGCTACTCTACTTTGACATGTAAACAACACGGAGACAATTCTGAACAATGAACACGCTAATTGATAGTGGCCAGTAGCAAGTTTAACTGCTATAAACTGGGCCCAAAAGATCAGATTCTAAGGGCCCACCTGTCAGGATATCTCATTAATAAATATTGTTGTGCCCAGCTTCTCTGTTAAGGAAAATTAATCATCTTGGTTGCAAATTAAGCAATAAGATTAATTTGTTCTTGTAAGAAAAGGCTAAGCCATGATAGAGTTCAGAAGAGATTCAAGAGAGCAATAGATCAATCACCTCCTCCAAGAAGTAGAAGAGCTTGTTGGTGAGCAGGGTGAGCGCCTCCCTGCGCTCATCGCTCTCGCTGGAGGAGATCACCCGGCTCAGATCAATGTAAAGGAAGGTGGTCTTCAGCTGGAGCTCACTCCAGAACAGGTCCCTGTCGTCGTCGTCCATGCCAATCACCAGATCCTCCTCCATCTCCAGGAGCTCGACGGCGCAGTTCTTGATCCGGCAGACGCACCCCATCAGCTCCACCCCTCGGTCCATTTGCTGCTGCTGCAAAGCGTTGCCTGATGACAAAGGATCAGAGTGAGCGATGTGGATGTGTTTATGGAAAGGCGAAAAAAGAAACTGATTCTTGGAGCATGTCTAGAAGCAACAGATGTCAGCATGTGCATCAGAGGAAAGTGGTGGCCAGTGCAGAGGATTACAAGGTTGGTTAAGGATTAGACCTTTCTGAAAATGCTGTTGGGGGCTCATTAAAAAAGACACAGAAAAAGGAAGAAAAGGGAAGCTGAATTTGGCCACCTTGTGTCTTTGTTTTAGATATCCAAAAAAAATGTTGGCAGGAGCAGAAGCTACCAAGAATTAATCACAAGGAAAAAAATCAGGCGAGGAAGGGGAACATCTTGGTGGCCCCAAAATATAATATAGAATGTACAAATGCTGGTCTCTATTATTCGTAAAAAAAAATGCTACAGCAATTAATGCTAATTAAAACTAAAAATTACTATGCCGAGTGACAAAAATATACTCACTCCATCCAAAAAATAGCAACATGTACTCAATTAGACACCGAGATAGACAAGACTAGTAGATTTTTGTCTTTGTTCGGTGACCAATATATTCCAACGATATAATTTCTATGACAGTTTTTTTTACTCTTTGGGTACCTTCCAAAGGAATGTTTTCATCTACATAAACAATATTATTTTTACTTTTTTCCGAACATGATTTTAAAAATATATCCTCCCAAATTTATTTTTTATCTGAAAATTGCTTCTAAAAGAATTATCTAAACATTTTGATCATGCCATTTTTATTGGCATAGCAAGACAATGTTGTCATGTGGATTAAAAAAATTGGCATGATACATAGCGGGTTACTGCGGTACTGCCACAACATAAACCGTGGCATATATGTAAACTGCATGGCAACATTTGCTTGCCACATCATCCTTGATAGCATAGTCAAAACGTGTGCTTTTAAAAGTAAGTTTGTTGAGGGTTTAGTTTTAAAATTGAAACAAAAAAGTTCGAAAATTCTATAAAAAAAAACTAAGTCGTTGACAGAAGTTCAATGGTCAGTGTAAACGCAGATTTGTGTGGCCTCATGAGAAGGACCGATTCTTTACTGTAACAACCGCTAGTTTATATCAATAACTGAAGACTGAGGATGGATTAAAAAGAGCAAATCCGCCTAGAAACAAACATTTCAGTGGAAAAAGAAACAGGGGGAGAATCATGTTTGAAATGGGATTATCAAATCATTTCGTAATAGCATTAGCAATCAACAAATATTACCATAACATAAAGAAAACAAGGCGTGTTCAGCAATGTCAATAAAAGGGTGGGGCCTGGGAAATATAACAGCTTTGAGGAATTAACGCGGAAGAGATAAGATACAATCAAAAAAAATACTTCCTCCATCCTAAAATATGAGAGATTTTATCTATGTAGTTACATGAGCATAATCCCTTATATTTCGGGACAGAGTGAGTAAAATGTAGTATGTTGAGAGCTTTCCCTTTGATAAGAATGATCCTATGTTGAACTCAGTTCATCACATTTATCTTTAATATCCTACATTAGCACTTAATTCAACTGAATCCTTACCCACAACAAATCTATTTAAAGAAAACATACGATTCCCACAGTCCACAGACACCAGCAGGAAACGAGTGTAGTGATCTTAGAAAACAAAAGCATGAAGGATGGAATAAAGAAACCTGAAGAAGATTGGAAAGCATAGGACGAACATGCCTTGATTATGAATTTACGAATTAAACTAAAAAACAGAATCTGATCAGAGAAGATCGCTCATACTCAGGTGCTTACAGGTCAAGTCAAGAGCAAACAAACTAGCACTACATTACAAGCAAAGCGGCCATAGATTCCCTACAGCATTTCTCAATTTCGCCCCATTACCAGTTTTAACACGAATCAAATCAGATTCTTGCCCTGAATTCCCCTACCCCAATCATAAATGGGCGAGGACTTCGTTGCCACACGAACCATAACCCAGAAGAAACTAATCTTCCCAACAAGCGAGGGAAAAGAAGGATTCCTCGAATGGGGTTTTCCTCCCCCCCTTTGTTTCCTTGAAAAGCTTTCGCGATATAATCAGGTAAAATGGGGGGGCAAGAAAAACGGCTATCCCAGCGAAGTTTACGCAACGGCTTCCCCAAATGCTCAACCGGAGCAGCATGCATCTTATAGTCACGTGCTATGATCACTACTACTGATTTGATTAGGGCGGTCATAAACTAACTCATAATCAAATTAATCATCAGCGTTTAGTAGAGCTAGGCGAGAGAGGAAGAGAGGGCACGCGTTGGCGGAAGCTTACCTTCTCCGTCGTTCGGATTCTTTCGCCCCCACTCACCAAAACCCAACCGCGAGCCTTGGGTTAATCTACCCGGGGGAAAGCCGAGAGAGGATTAGGACTACGGTTGGGTGCGTGTATATACTACAGGATTGCAAATCAAACTCCCTCTCCAACACGGACACGGCGAGAAGCCGCGATGATTCCTGTTCTTATCTGAGACTCAAGAGAGCGGTTGCTGCTGCTGCTGCCGCCGCCGCCCGTTGCGCGTCGTGCTGGCGCTGTTTTGTGGGCAGGGAAGGGATTAAAGGGACGTGTGCCCCGTTTTGGTAGAATCTGTCCGCGATGACTTCAGTTTCAGATGATGGGTTTGAGATTTTGAGCAGGTCAGACTTGTTGGTGCGTGTGATGATCAAAGGGACGCGGCGTTTGGGTTGGGTTCGGTTGGATCACTTGGGTTTGTTCCGTTCAAACTGCCCTCCGTGAGAGGTTTCCCCGGGGTCGTACGAGCGAACCCAAAAGCACGGAAGAATAATAGTCGCCTCGCCGGAGGCTGGGACCAGGGACATGGAACATCTGTACAAGGCCGACGCGATCGAAGCACCGACTGGACCGTGGCATTGACCGGCGCGTCAATGCCTTTGAATATCTAGTACTACTATACCTTCGTTAGTTCGTTTCAACGTACTCCCTCCGTCTCAGAAAGAATCAACCGATGTCATTCCTCCTAGGACAATATATGTGAATAACCTCTATGTTCACATACATCAACCTAGGAGGGGAGGTTGATTCTTTTTGGACGGAGGGAGTACATCTGTTCCAGAATATAACATCTAATACGACATTCGTTTTAAAATATAGCAACTGGGACCAAATTAGCTATCTAGATTTAATAGTCTAGGTTATTATATTTTAGAAAATAAATGGACTACAATGCAAATGATGTGCTTTTGTTTTCTTCGAATAGATGTGTATCGTATCGTATCGTATGTGCGGTGTGCCTGGAAGTAAGTACCGAGCAAGCAGTCATAGTGTGAGACTGAGGAAACTACACTAGTAATGTAGTCGTGTGTTAGATTGGATTACTGTGAAACGAATGTCGAAAACTTAGAAGAACAAAAAACCCCACAACAAGACGAGCGAGATGAATATACGGTTACAAACCTCAGAAGAAAAATGGTGTGGTTGTCACTTTTCACTACTCAAAAGAAACCAATAGTTGCAGACGAAATGCTGCAAGTTACAGACATCTCAGGGAAATGGTAATCGTCAAGGTTCAGAAACTAACAGAACTCAAAATTCCTCATCTCCGAAGGTGCAACTGCAAATAAAGCACGGGTAAACAGATATGGGGGATTGATTGTGTCTAAGTTTTAGACCAACACCATGCTTCATGCCCAACTGAACTGCTTGGCTCCATCCGCTAGCTTTTAAATCTCACATTGTCAGACATCAGGTAGTCGTTTGTCCCCCACCCTATTGACAACAAAATTCATACATCCAAGGATGTAAAGATGGTGACTCAAAATTTTGTACTCGGCCTCTGTAGGTGGATCATATCAGGCACTATTACCAATTTACAGCAGTGCAACATCTGTGGTTCAAACCAGTTGAATACGGCAATATACACCAAATAGATGTGCTAATTTTCACACAGACCAGCAGTATAAGTTTATGACCGATCAACTTGCTTGCACTTCTTGCTTCTCGGTATTTTCTTCATTTTTCAGCTCCTGAATTGTAGTCATGTTACTCACTTCACTCTCTACTACTGAACTGCTAGCAGATATTCCATCAGCAGGAGCAACTGGTGTCGACCGTCCTGAATTGGAGCCAGAATGTTGCCCCAAAGATTGCTTTGATGTGTTCAGCGCATGACAATGGGGGCAGTAGTAGGTAATGTGCGGGTAATCTTCTTTCCTGGCCAAGCCTGCACGTTGATATATCAAGTAATGCATCAGTCTTTTTTAACACAACAGGCAAAAGAGATCAAATAGTTCTGTTTGTCGTACACACCATTATGCATATGACAGTTTCCACATATCAAAGCGTACGACTGCGACGGATCCTCCCCAACAAGTAAAGCAGCGATTTTTGCTATCCATCCACCATCACTTGCCCCTGAGCCTTGAAAATGTTCTACCACCATTGGAGGCTGTTCCAGGCCAGAGCTACTTGTCAGACTGGATTCAGCTCCCTGAGCTGGATTTTGAGCAGCAGTGGTGCCTCCAGTTCGGCTACCTCTTGCATTGGATTGCTTCCTGTTTCTCAGCCCTTCTGATGGTGATATCTCCACATCATTGCTCCTAGCAACTGCTGAATCCAGTTTTGGTTCTTCACCAACATGTACTTTTAAGCCAGTTTCCTCTCCGAGCTTAGATGCCAATACCGATGCTGCCGCAGCCTTTGCAGCTGGATCTAGGTCATATTTCTGCACATTTGCAGGTCTTGGTGAATTTACTATTAATTGGGCATATAACATGATAAAATTTTATTCCAAGTTCTGAACTTCTATAGATCGAGTAATGGCCACTCACCTGAATAAGCTGTTGGGTGAGGTAATAATTAGTTCTCTCTTTTAGCTCATCAATCTTGGCCTTCCTCTCAGCTCTCAGCTTTTCAAGTGTCTTCTGGTCTTTCCGCTCAACTGTGAACAGATACAAATAGGAAGTGAATAGAGTATACTAACACATCATACAGATTAAATGCTATATCATGTAAATTGACATATAAAATAGTAAATATCTTTCCCAGTAAAAGGGTAGCATCTGCTTGTAAATTGTAAAGAGTAATAATTGAGAACTGGGAAGAGGTGTGCAAATCTCTAATCCTTCATGTGTCAAATAGACATGCAAACATTGATATTAGTTTGACACTAAGTTGTAGTAGCTATGTCAAGTGATAGGAATATTGCAAATAGCTTGCTAAATTATATGCCCATTCAACAACAAAAACAAAAGATAAAGAAGAGATTCAAGACTTCGGTTAGCTTGATAAGAAAACACAATAAATATTATCATTTCCATCTTCTCCTCTTAAGACTGTCTTCAGATAAAATGCTCATGAAGCTGGTTGTATGGCACAACTCCTATTGCCAATTTGGAAAAAGAATGGGAACCAGGGGACAGCCTCCTTTCTCAAACTTACTTGCACTAAGCAAAAACCCCAAAGAAAATCAATTCAGATTTTAACTACAATCTACAATAAACTGAAGACTGTAGATCAAAAGAGAGGGGGGAAAAAGCTCAAATAAAGCAGCACCGAAAAGTAAGCTTCATATTATAAGTGCACCAATCTAGTAGTCCAGACACAATCATGGTTCTATATTGCAGACATGTAAGTTTTAGCATAGGCAAGTGAAAACAGAAGGAACCTAACAGCTCTGATAATGTTGCACAGAAGCAAAGTGTGGAGACTGGTATTACAATGGCCTAACTAGATGCTCTGCATAAAGAAGATCAGCAGAAATCTATGTATGTCGGTGCATTACATACATTATCAATAATAGGCATAGCTTTATGAGAGACCGAGTACCTATCTGAATTGAAAAAAAAAATGCAGGTTGGGAGCTTATATGCTTCAAAATAAGTCATGTACTTCCTCCGTTTCATATTATAAGACTTTCTAGCATTGCCCACATTCATATATATGTTAATGAATCTAGACATATATGTGTGTCTAGATTCATTAACATCTATATAAATGTGGGCAATGCTAGACAGTCGTGTAACCTGAAACAGAGGTAGTACTAGACAATGAAATTGACCCCAGCATCTGGGGACCAGGGTGATATTCTCTCTAACAAGAACATACAGCTAATTCACTTGATTGTCAGAATGTAAACCAACACAGAGCTTATATAGAAGTTTACTAAAGTGATATTGTCTATTCTATATATAACTTAAGCAGAGATGCAGGACTCACTAAAGAGTAAAAACAGTAAAATCTCACGGAAATAGTTTGAATATGCATATTAGTCAATATGAACAGTAATGGTACGTTCCAAAACAGCATTGAGTTACTTACGCATCCTTGTGAATTTTACAACTGTTGAATATATCACAGAAGATACAGCAGGCAAGACAAACATCGGCAGCACTCGGATTGCCCTCATTTCCCATGTTATATGCTCATTTCTTGTTGTCATAATGGCATAGACAATAGCCACCACCTGAGAACAGGACCAAGATATCAAACAAGTAGATATTGCCCTTTGGGCATATGGATGCAAAAAGAAAAAACTTTATTGCTGCAAGATTAAAAAAAATGTAAACCACATCATAGATAGCACATCAACCAAAAGGGGAAATGAACACTGCAATGGAATAAACAAGAGACATGCATAGTATTTATTTTTAGCAGTGGATTGTCCACGTTTCCAGAATGGATCACTCATGTTCCATGACCTCCTTTTTCACAGCATAAACATGTAATTGCTGATACTTTATATAATCATTAAAAAACTTGCCATGACTTATTCACATAGTTAGAGGAACACAGTGAAAAAGGGGCAAATCTCAATGCCATGAAGATACCAGAGGAGGCAGATTCTCACTGCAGCTTGACAGAAAAAGCAACTGCGTCCATTTTCAGCCAGTTTCATAACAAACAAATCAGTTGAGCAACCCTACAAACATCAACTACATCAAGAGGAGAGAGACAAACAATTTTGTAATGCTCCTGTAAACAACTGATTCTGATTGTCCATCGAAATACGTAAGCATGTACATACTTGTACTTTGAATAGGTATCACAGGACATAACCTTTTATAGAAGTGCATGGAACACGTCTATAAACATAAAAGACCATCACAGGTGGCATACATTCATGAGTAATTAATTGTTACAAAATGAACTCATGAATAGAACTAGCTTCCTGAACATGATGATCTGACTGAATAAAAGTAGACAACCTTTCAACATCTACTGAGAGGGAGAAGTGAGAATTCTCAACTCATATATCTAAGCACTGGAAAATCAGAGCAAACCCTCCATTTCCCACTACCATGGGATGACTCCCCTGCAGTCTACTTTGGTGAAATTGCCATATACCACCAAAGCAGTTAACTGTCTCACACACACAAAAAAAAGATATGCTCAACAACATGAATAGCTTATCTTCAATACTTGTTGTTTGCGAGAACATCCCAAGCTATGTTTACTTCGTTTCAATAAAGCTGTCGCCCTTTTGCCCCTTCAGCACAAAACATTGACACTGTTTTCACTTGTCCTCATCCCCACGGACTCGGTCTCAAGCATCGCTCCTCACAGCAACAAGCCACGAAAATGCTTACAAAAGAAACTCCAAAAGTTTGATCAGCGAAACAGGCACAGGTAACGCAAAAACCTCCGCAACGAATCGCCACCAATCCAGGCATAGGCACACACAACAATCAATCACAATATACTCCCGCAAAAGAGAGTCCGCGCCACACCACCAATCATCCGAACCGAATCATGCTAACGGCGGAAGGTTTCGTTAGGGAAACGAATAGAGTAATATAGAAGAGGGGGGGATTTCGATATGCGGACCTCGGCGAGGACGGAGAGGACGATGAGGTTGCGGACGGCGGTGCGGGAGAACTGCGTCCGGCGGCGCATCCGCGCGTGCACGGCGGCCTCCTCCTTGGACAGGTACTGCAGCCGCTTCTCGTAGTCCTCGCGCCCGCCGAACAGCGCGCGCCACATCCTCCCCAGCACCCCGCCGCCCCGCCGCCCCTCCTCCTTCTTCCCCTTCCCCTTCTCCTCCTCCCCCACCGCCGCCGCCTCCGGTGACGACGCCATTCCCCGGCCCGTCCGGATCTGCGCCCCCCCTCTGGATCCGCACGAGCAACGCCTCGCTACGGTTGCCCCCCTCCTCCTCGGGCAGCTCTCTCTCTCTCTTTCTGGAGGATGGACGCGTCGACGCGAGGAGAAGGGAGGGGGGGTTTGGTTTGGTCGATGTAACCTTCGGGATGGGTGATGCGGCGTCCAAGTGGGCGAAATGAATAGAGTCGGGGGACGGACGAGCACGCGTGCAACCACCGGAAAGGACGGGGCCCGGTTCCTTAATTCCGGGATCCGACGGCTCCGATCTGCCTCGGAACACATCGCACGGCCCAGATTTGCAGACGCCACACTGCTCGGAAGTAACTTCCCCAACTGCTGCCCGGCTTGCACGGCTGAAAGCGAAGCTCCATTACAGCAACGGGAGGCGATTTTTTTTTTAAGGAAATAATACGATTTTAATGGAAAATCGTAAAAATATATGTCGGTTACACGAAATCGTAAATTTAGCACCCTGTCGAACAAACATAGGCAATTGGTTCAAAAAAAAATTAAAAAGTACATAAACAGTGCTGCTACAGTGATCGGCGGGGGCATATCAAACTGCCAATGTTCGATATGTTCGCAATAACAATGCACTACAGTGCCGCTGCAGTGATTATTCTCTTTTTCTAAAAAATTTTTTATCACCTATCGAGCTGCGGTTGTTCGATAAGTATCCTGTCAAACCACGGTTGTTCGACAGGGTGCTAAACTTGCGATTTCATCTAATTGATCTATTTTTTTATGATTTTTCATTAAAATCGTATTATTTAAAAAAAAATCACGGGAGGCGGCGAATGTCTCGGTGGGAAATGCGAGTCGGTCAACACGTACGCGAGGGATCGCCTGAAGGCTGAAGCCGGTGCCGTTGCTGGGCTGGAAGACTTGAGACTCGCGCGTCGCGCTCATCCTGCATGCGTGCCCATGTTTCCGTCCGTCGATGACGCGCCGCGGCGGATTAAACAAAAGAGGGGAGGGCCAGCGCGGCTACGGCGGCCCACGTACGTGTACCGGTGTACGGTGTGCGTGCCTTTGACTTTTGGTGGAGCAGAGGGGCTTAGCAGCAGCGGAACATGCCGTGCCGAGTTGCCGATCGATCGATTCTGTGTGCACGTAGCCATGTTTCGTTTTCGATCGCGCTCTCGCCTCGCGTGTGCGTGTGCGTGTGCGTGGTGGTGAGCTCCAACGTGGAAAGTGTTGTGGTGCTTTCCTTTCACGCAAAAAAACGTAACGATACCTTTCTTTCCCTTGAGGGAGGGAAGCACATACTCCGAACTTCCGAAGTAATAGTACTATTAACCTTATTTTACAGGTTTTGGGCCTGTTTATTTTAATGCCAAAAAAAACCTTAGCATAGTTACCAAAATTTTGACAACTTGCTAAAATTTTAGCAGGATTTCTTATATAGTTACTAAAAAATTGGCAGCAAATTAAATGTAGCCACTTTTTTTACAACTTTACAAAATTTTGTAAGGTTGAAAATAGTATTAAAGTGAACAGGCTCTTTTAACTCTGGCTTAGCACAGGGGCGTCATGGCACATCATGGCGTGGATCTCAGGGCACAGAGTATGTACCATGGGAGCAACAGTGCATATTGTTGCAAAACGCATCCGCTGTAGATTTTCCTTTTCCGCCTTGAGAATCAAAATCAGCTCAACATGACAAACCCACAATTACATTGTTTGCTCCCTAAAAGAAAGTCTTCACTGTTAACGAACATGGCCCGAACCAAATTACATGGGCCGGACGCCCGGACTGGCCTAAAACTAGGCCATTAGGACAGCCCAACTTCGCAAGTATGAATGATCCAGCCCAGACAATAATTTTAAGGAATAAGTTCATCTGAGGCCCCTTAACTTGTCAATGAATCTGATTTTCATCCTTCAACCAGTAAACCAGATACAACGGCTCCTTAACTATCAAAACCAATGCAGATGAGGTCCCTCGGCAGTTTTGGCTGACGTGGCGCCTACGTGGCTAATTTGACTTGGTATTCATATGACATAGCATTTACGTGGCAATTTGACCCGGAAAAATAACAAACCTCGTGGGACCCACACGTCAATTTCATACAAATTAATAAAAAATGGTAGGGCCCACGTGGGCTCCACATGTCATTCTCAGCCCCCCACCCTCTTTACATCTCCAGCGGACGGCGGCGGCCTGTGAAGGATGGCGGTGAAGATGGTGTTCTCCAACTCGGCCCAGAACGGCGGCACGCTAGCGAGGAAGGTGTAGAGCATGACGCGGATGCTCCAGATGCCGCCCTCAGGGCCATACTTCCTCTTGAGCACCTCTAGCACGATGTGCGACGGAAGCAGCTCGTTTAGATTCCCGAAGACCGACACCAAGCAGGAGAAATCCGGAGATCCTTCTCCATGGATTGCTTCATAGGCGAACTCAGCTGGAAACCACCAACACGGAAGGAGCCTGTCTGGTCGGAGGTCGGGTCGAGCCATCCCGATGTGCCCCGTAGCAGCAGCAACATCATCGACACCATTGCTGGCACCGGCGTGACGAGCGAGCGGTTCCCGGCGGTTGCTGTCGTCGTTTGGGCTCAGGCGGAGCTCACGGAGCACGACGCTGCCCATCTTCTCGGGGGGAGGGGGGGGGGGTCCTTGGGCTCATCGAAGCCATCATCTCCGGGGGGCTTGGTGTTGGGCTCGTCGGCCTCCACGAAGAGCTCAGGTACGTCCTGTCCCCCTCTTCTGACTCCTTCTCGCATTACATACCACCGTCGCCACCTCCTACCCAGCATGTATCGTCTTCCTCCCGTTCTCCGAGGCCGGCCGATCGAAGGGGCAAGGGCCGCAGGCCGCCCCTCTCTCCACGGGGTGCCGCCCTTCTGCCAGCCACCGCGAGATGTCGGGTGACCGTAGAGCCGTGAGCGTTGAGGTCAATACCGCCGGTAGCCATCAACCGTCTAGATCTCGCGGGATGCACCGGATTCCTTCGCCCCCACCATCGTCGGAGGGATGGGCTCCTCACTCTTCGGCGAGTCGGCGCGGCGGCGGAAAGGTTTAGGGATCTATTGCCGCCACAGCAAGGAGACGCCGCCAGGTCGCTGGATTAGGGGGAGGAGGAGGAGACGGGGAGTTTGGGTGAGGAGGAGGAGTAGATGTGGGTCCCACTTGTAAATTTTTTATTTTTAACTAAACTGTCACTTACATGTGGGCCCTATGATTTTTCCGCTTTTAAGTGCCACATCAATGCTACGTAGACGCTACGTCATCCGAAACCACTATCGAAACTGTCTTGGGATCTTATTTGTACTGGTTTTGAAAGTTGAAGATGTGTTATATCTGGTATTACGATTTATGGATGAATTTTAGATTCGACGTCAAATCAAGGGACCTAAAGTGAACTTATTCCTAATTTTAAATGCAGTCTGGATGTTGTTCTCACGTTACAGGTTGGGAGCCCAAAGACGGAACGTGTGACGCCCGCAGGGAGCAGAACGCTAACGAACTCGATATCACACTAAAGCATCCCCTCGATTCGACGGATCATATCGATCAGTTAGTCTGAAGCTGTCACTCAGTTAGTCTGAAGATGGAGGCCTGCACATTGATCATGTACACATTACATACGCAACAAGGAAAAAGTTTATTTTAGCTCCATCTACTTTTGCTCTCGATCGAATCACATCCCTCAGCCTTAAAACCAGGTAAATTACATCCTTCAACTTCAAAAACCGATGTAAACCAACTTATTTAGTGGTTTGAAAAGCAGTTTCTGCTCACATGGTAGGTTGACTATGGTCAAAACTCACTAACGTGAAAACATGGAACCACATATAAGTGATAGAAAAAATAGAAAAACTATAGGATCCACATGTTAGCTCCTACTCTTCTTCTCTCCTCTATTTATTTATTTTTATTTTCCCCAACTAAGACAGGCAGGGTGTGGGTGGCCGGCCGACAAACCCATCCAAGCTCGCACGCCCATCCACCATCGTCCTTGGTGAGTCTTATTGCGACAATGTGCCATCTCCTCCGCCTCTTCCTATCTTCTCCAGGCGCACCATGCTCAATGGCAACATGGCTACCATAGCTCGCTAGGATAGAGGCCGAGGTGGAGCTCGTTGGATAGAAGCGTCGATAGACCTTGGCAGCTGCAGTGGGAGCTTAGGGAGGCCGCGACAGTGGCGCTCTAGCTCTATCCATGTCCTTGGAGACGGGGTGCTCAACAAGGTCGCATCAATGCCGAGCTTTACGTCCAACTTAGCCGATCGTGCCGCGTTGCCTTGAGCCAATCTAGGTGATGAGTGAATTAGTGGTAGTGCCGCCCTCCTTCCTTCCTTGTTGCACCTCCCCCTCTCTTGTATCTCTCTCATGCGAGCTCACTCTCTCTTGTTCTTGGTGCTAGCGAAGGAGGATGTTTGTTCTCGGTGTGGAGAAGCAGTGGCACGATCAGTGAAGGCAGTGGTCCGAGGAGATGGTAGCGCTTAGGGAGAAGGAGCTAGAGGAGGCGGAGCTCCCCACGGCATAGAGGCCACCGACAGCACGAGCTGGGAGACGCTTGCTGGGGATGACAATGGAAGAGCTCGAAGATGGAGGTGGTCGTTAGGGAGGAGAAGCGCGGAGTGGTGGGGCATGATAATAAGGTTGAACGGGGAGCGGTCGGCGATGACAGCAGAAGCGCGACGAACATTGCGAGGTTGAAGGCTGATGGATGCGACATAGGAATGGAGGTGGGATGCCTCTACGTTCCCAGTTCCTACATTCTAGGGGACCTCATGCCGAGCACGCTCCCTCCGCAGCCACCATGGCCGAAAGGAGGGAGAGAGAAGAGGGGAGGAGATAGAGGGGATGACACATGGGTCCCACTACAAAAATTTAGTTTTTTTTTTTGCTTAAGAGATTTGTCGACTCAGCTAGTCTCAACCTACCGTTTCGGCATAAACCACTTCTCAAACCACCGAAGAAGTTGATTTACACCGATTTTTAAAGATGAGGAAAACATTATACTTGAATTTACAATTGAGAGAGATAATTTAATCAGAAGCAAGAGATGAGAGAGACAAAATAGACTTGGGCTGCGTTTGTTTCTCTCGTTTGGGAACTGATTCCCTCCACACGGAAAACGGAGTAGTCCATTAGCGCGTGATTAATTAAGTATTCGCTATTTTTTTCAAAAAAAAT